TTTATCCATTCTTATCCAAGCTAACTGAAGTTTGGCATCGCTAAGGCTTAAGGTGACCATCTGAAGGGAAATTAGTACCAGACAATCAACGTCCAACTCGATCTTGCTGTTCACGTCCGCACTCTAGGAACGCTGCGCTAGTGCGCTAGTTATTGTTTGGTGCGGAGACGTGGCGGAGGTACGTGTCTTGTACTAGTGAAGGATTTTAAGTGTGACTATCGTGTATATATTATTGTGAATAGATTTACTTAGAATGTGTTCATATGATCTCTCTTGTAAATATTGATCATTCGTAGGAACCTTGTTATTTTTAGCATTTTATTGATTAGTTTTTTTGTTTGTTTTCAGGAAAGTTAAGGGCTTGAACTTGAAACATTATATAGCGAATACAAGTGGAGTTTGAATTCCCTTGGGACATGAACATGAAGTGGGTTGGAATTACGATCACGAGCCGTATTAAACGCTGATGCTTGGGCCTAGTTGGCTTTCAGAGTGAGCCCACAGCACCGTTCATAATAATTGAAACGAAAATATAAATGGAAAAATATTCGTGGTCCAAATGAATTTCATGAGACGTTTAAAAAATTGGTTGGGCTCCTTACTACCTGAACAATTTTGAATGACAAGTAAAGTTCATTTCACGAGTTCAACTGCATGTAACAACACTGGCGTAAGTCTTGCACACGTATTAAGAAGTTTGAAGCTCCTCTCTACATGTGATACAGATTCTAGTACTTAATTTAACGGCAAGGAATTATTCACTGCATGTACTGTACCGTTCATGAACTCAAATAATTCATCCTATTTTTATATAATAATTAAACCTAACGTTGTTTAGCTATCGTCATTCAGGGGAGCATCTATCCTAAAATTTATCTCCTCTACTTTACTACACTACTTGTCTCCTCGAAAAAATAAAAATAAAATAAGCCCAGCAAGATTATCTGCAGAGCATCAATCAGCTAGACTGCTAAAGAATCAGTGTGGTGCGAACTTATTTCCTAACATTGCCCCCCCCCCCTCAAGTGCAATACCATTGCACTTTGCTAACAATCGGCCACTGATCGGTTGGGACACTGTACAATATAGGGGGGCAAAGGGGGCGCCAGCCTGAAAAAGTTTGGGAACCACTGGACTAATTGGTCAAACTTTTACTCTATCTCAGTCTATATTGATGATGAGAGCTTTGACATTGTTCCTCGCTAGTTCCAGTTTTTCATATCCCACGATATCCGACACTGGTTTCACGATTTCTTATAGCGAGTTTATCGAATTATATCGTAGTTTCCCATGTTTATGGTAAATTCAATCATAAAGCGACAGCGACAAGAACAAGAGAGCACTGGCCTATGCGGCATTGATTGCTAAGTGCAAAGAAGTTGATACTACAGCAAACAAAGACTCTGTAACGAAGAAAATAAACTCTTTATCGAAAAGAATGTGCCAAAATGAAGTCGTCAATGCTATTTGGTGCTGGTAGGGATGCTGTCTATCAACCCTCATTGTGGCATTTTTTAAAACCATTTTCGGGATCACCGCGTACGTTTGCATCGCTTTAATCTAATTTTGGTGGCACAAACTGCGATCACTGCAGCGAGCAGCACTGCCTCCTCCTTGTCGCGAATGCACTAAAAACTGAAGGAAGGTTTGAGCGTGTGGACGCTCTTCAGTCTTCCGTTAAAATCGCTCAAACCTGGCATGACATGCAAGACTGACGATAAGTTTGAACGTGTGGACGGGGCTTTACTGTAAATTTACTGCATTAAGTTTCACCTCTGAAGTTTGACCTTCCCCCAGCTTAGGCGTGGATTATATACATAGAGAACCTTTAGAGCGGCGCAACTAGAGCTCTCCCGCCATTTATGGAACCGCGAGATTACCGCTTGATGAAATAACCCAATCTAACCCTTTACGCCCTGAATTTCTGGGACAAAAATCGTAAAATTCACTTTTTCGGTTTTAAGTCTCACTTCGAAGCTGACATTCTGACCTATCCAATGGTACCAAAATCATCTATGTACGTTGATTTATGCCTTGACGACAGTTCGTGAAAGTGTTAGGGGTGGGGGAGTTCTTTCACATTTAATATAGGCGAAAATTACTGGTTGGGCACATAAATATGCAACCTGAAGACGCTGATCTTTAGTTCCCCGGCTGCTGTCGTGTGGGATGGTGCTCATGCAGTCGTTCCCACTATCCTTCCATGAATTTCGGCTCCAGTAATGTCTAGTCTTGCATCCATGTCACCTTGAATGCCTATTTCGAGGCGCTCGGGACTTTGTCGCGCTCTACTGAACATTCACACATATTGTCACTGCAAACCTATTTCCTCCCAGAGTTTTTTAGCTACAGCAATGAGTAATAAACCGTTCGAATCGCAAATAAAAGATCTAGAGATTGGTCGAAGCTTTTTTTCAATTTCGTTAAAGTTTTGAAAATATTTTGAAAAAAGGGGAGGGGAAATTCGAAAGGGGGGGGGGAGAAATAATTTTTTTTTGAAAAATGCCGACCTCACCCACAAAAATTAGAATTTCGAAGAACAGCAAAGACCAATCGATAGATATGGTCCTTACGCATTGAATGATATGCGTTTCAATGTTGTAGCTTGAAAATCATAGGAGGAGATAGATTTCTACAGTACCCCCTTTTTGGCGGTTTTCTAAGAATTTCACGTTTTCTTTCACTTTTTTCGAAAAATTCCTACGAACAAAAAAGTCTTAGATTTATCTTTTACATATGTGTACCAAGTTTCAAAGTTATCTGTTAGTAAATAACCGAAATAGAATTTTCATAAGAAATTGGACATTGCCATTGGAAATTGGAAATTATATTTCAGTTATTTACTGACAGATAACTTTGAAACTTGGTACACATATGTAAAAAATAATTCTAAGACTTTTTTTATTCGTGTAAATTTTTCGAAAAAATAATAGAAAACGTGAAATTGTTGGAAAACCGATGTTTTTTCTGTGTGACGAATTCGTCACGCCAGGGCGTAAAGGGCTAATTGTTAATATTTAACAAAAGTGCTTAGTGCAGTATAAGCACTAGAATGATGATTCGTGATTGATTACAGTTATGATATGGCCTATGACGAGTAATGTTGTCGAACAGATCTCTGCAACGCAAGCTCCACCGTTTTTGTTTGGTGGTTTTGAATTCTGGAGAGCCACTTATTGCTGTGTCAATTGAATTCTGAGGTACCATTCGAAATTTCATTCATCCTGAAAATCATCGTCCATTCATGGAACTGGCTGACTACTGCATTACTTGTCTACTTCTAACACTCAGCCTAACAGTCTCCAATACCTTCATGGAGCAAGTATTTTCATAAGTCACCTATGTGATGAATAAGCAACGTAATAAAATTCCAACTAAGCTACTGGAGTTCGTTATTCTAACCAAAAGCTATCTGCTCAGCCGCACATGAGTCGCAATTTTGTGATCACGCCCGAAATGTTTGATAAATGCAATATACAACATGTCCTAAAATAACAGGAGGAAGATGACGTTTCCGTGGCTTGCTCATCTTGAGTGAAGGGGAAGAAGTGCCACACTGCGATAAAAAAAGGAACAAGCGTAAAAGTAATCAAACCCAGAAAAAAAATGTGAAAATGTTTCAAAGAGAGGGAAAAAATATAACGTGTTCAATTTGGTTTATTATTCGCATAGTAACACATGCACAGTAAAATGATAAAAAATACATTTATTTTCTAACCAACGTTTTTGACAAATAGTTTCATCAAATTTGGAGGTTTTAGTCTGTTTTTTATCAATAAAATTTCTGGTATTTTGAGCTAGGCAATCTGGTATTCTCGCCGAGAAAAAAGTTGGCAACACTGCGTCTCAGACTCAGCGTTGCCAGATGGTATATTTCCCTACCAGATTTCACAAATCTGGTATTTTCAAAAGGTGTCTGGTATGAATATTTCAGATCTGGTATATATGTCTAAATCTGGTATTTTTCCGGTATTTTCTGACTTACTGCAAATTTACTGCGTTAAGTTCCACCTCTGAAGTTTGAACTTCCTCCAGCGTAGGCGTGGATTATATAGATTACCTTCAGAGCGGCGCGATTAGAGCTTTCCCGCCATTTTTGGAACCGCAAGTTTACCGCTTGATGAAATAACCTCAATCTAATTGTTAACATTTAACAAAAGTGCTTAGTGCAATATGAACACGAGAGTGATGATCCTTGATTGATTACTGATCAGTGATGATATGGCCTATGACGAGTTAGGTTGTCGAATCGATCTCTGCGACGCAAGCTCCACCATTTTTGTTTGGTGGTTTGAATTATAGAGTGCCACTTGAATTCGGGGGTGCCATACAATATTTCACTGATCTTGAAAATCATCATCCATTCATAGAACTGGCTGCCTACTGCACCACGTGTCTACTTTGACAAGGTCTCCAATGCATTCGTGGAGTGAATGTTTTCACAAGTCACCTATGTATGTGAAAAACAAGTAACGAAATAAAATTTCAACTAAGGTACTGCAGTCCCTTATTCGGATCAAAAGCTTTCTGCTCAGCCGTAACAAGTGATCAAACCCGAAATTTAGATTAATGCAACATGCAAGCATGTTAATGAAAATGGAAGATGACCTGTTTCCGTGGCTTGCTCATGTTGAGCGAAGGGGAAGAAGTGCCACACTGGTATATGCACAGTACATAAAATACTTTTTAGCGCATTTTCTCATTTATGAAAAAAATGCACTAATGTGCTCACCATGTCCGTCTGTCCGTCCGTGACCACGTTTCCGTCGACGAGAAAATGCGCTCTCTGTCAGTCACTGCAGTGAGTACTGAGATCTATATTTTTTTTCTAACCAACGTTTCTGACGAATAGGTTCATTAAATTTGGAGGTATTAGTCATTTTTCGAACAATAGAATTTCTGGTATATTTCTGGTATTTTGAACTAGGCAATCTGGTATTCTCTCAGAGAAAAAACCTGGCAACACTGCAGTCAGACTCTCAGCTGCCAGTATGCCGCAGGCGTCGTTAGAGTAGGTGTGTGTCTCATTTATGGCCATGGCGAATTCAGCCGAGGAACTTGTTTTTAATCCACCGGAGTTGGTGGCTAAAAATGCTCACTGTTCTTCCATGGAGCAGTACAGAGAAATGCACAAAGAGTCCATTAAAGATCCTGAAGCTTTTTGGAGTAAAATTGCGAAAGAATTTCACTTTGAGAATAACAGTGTAGGAAAGTTTTTTGAGTACAATTTTGACATAACCAAAGGACCGATTTTCATACAATGGATGAAGGGATCACGTACTAATATTTGTTACAACTGCCTTGACCGGCACGTTCTTGCAGGGAAAGGCGACGCAATCGCTTTCTATTGGTAAGTGCTTCAACTCTGTGGCGATTTCCATCCTTTACCTAGTTTTATTTGCTGACCATACTATAAACTTGTCGTCTGCCAAGATTATGGTCGATGACAGTTGAATTATTGAATTGTTTTCAATTAGATGCCGATCAGCCTATGGCATTTACAATTCGCTTTATGATTATGTTTTATGTGTAAAAATTACTCTTTTTTTTCTAGGATTTTAAGTTTTGATATATTTATATAGCACACGCACAGTTAGCACTCAAACACTGCAAATGCAATTTGCCTGATTTAATTTATTTGCTAAACAGAGGATAGGTGAAATGGAGCAACTTTATTGTTCATCATTTCATGTTGATTCTCTTATCTTTAACACTATTAACATTTATCTAAAAGTATCCATAGTGTCATATACTGTCATAGTAGCTAGTGTCCAAGGGACCAGGATTAGAATTTTTCTACCTGTTTCTGAAATCTCACGGCTCCAACATGACAACTTTTTAGTACAATTGGTATCTCGCGGCCCAATTGTGCACTATTGTTAACAATTAGGTAGGAGCTTAAATCATCTGGCAGAATTCTTGCAGACGTTGCATGGTTGCAGTTCTGGAAATGGCAGGAAAGTTCTAGTCACGGCCCTAAAAGGCTAAAGGTAGACGTTTTCCATGCTTGAGTTAGAGTCTGTGTGCACTGCATTGTGCAATGCCATCAGCTAGAGTAGAGGTGCTGGTGGCTGTGTGAACAATATGACTTGGTAATTTTTATTGATTAGTACTATGCATATTGATTAGTACTTGGTACTATGCATAAATGTATGGTCCAGTATATCCTCCAATCTCCATTATCCTTAGATACATCATTAGACTCATTTGAAATTCAGTGCATGTTAGAAAATTTTTATATGTGACAATGTGTTGCCCAGTTTTGGTTGTCTCACTTGTCTGCCTATACATATTAAATTATTGTAACAATGTGATCAATTGGTAAAATGTATAGTAGCCTTTTGTATCTGAAGTACCAACTTTAAGCTAGTTTGAAGAACTGGGTTTATCAGTGCTCCTATTGATATGGCTTGTCTTTATGTGGAACTTGAACTTCAAGTGCCTAACGGTTATGTGGCTTTTGTTCAATTCTGCTGTGAAAATGAGTCAACACTCAAAGAGTCAAATCTGATTGTCCATGAAGATGAATTTATGCACTCCTTTTAGTCCTTTAGAATATTATCTTTGATGAGCATTGAAGGGCAATATGTTGAAATGTGTTCTAGTAGAACAATTATTCAATTAAAAGTCCTCAAAAATGAAATTTTTATCTATTTAATTTTGGTTTTATATGATTATATCAATTCATTTTATTAAACTTTAGATTGCTTATTCTGAACAATACTAATGACAACCATGAAATATTCTTTTTGAAATCTTTAGCCAAACATGATCCAAGATATCCAATCTACCTATTTGCCCCAACATTCATGTGAATGCTAACTTTTATTTAATTCTAATCTAACAAGATTGGATCCTAATGAAAAAATTTTTGGAGTTATAAAATGTTTAATAAAAATTAATGCTTTGCACAGAAGATCTTTTATGAATTATGGCCCTTTAAATTGAATTTTGAATGAACTTTACGCTTTTGAAAATGGCTGTTGTGTAAACAATTGCTTCTAAAAATGAGTCTTGTTTATACATGAATCCTGTTTTTATATGAATCCTGCTTTAATATGAATCCTGTTTTAATATGAATCCTGCTTTAATATGAATCCTGTTTTTAAATGAATCCTGCTTTCAAATGAATCCTGCTTTAATATGAATCCTGTTTTTAAATGAATCCTGTTTTCAAATGAATCCTGCTTTCAAATGAATCCTGCTTTTAAATGAATCCTGTTTTTGAATGAATCCTGTTTTTGAATGAATCCTGTTTTTAAATGAATCCTATTTTTATATGAACCCTGTTTTTGAATGAATCCTGTTTTTAAGTGAATCCTGTTTTAAATAAATCCTCTTTTTAAATGAATCCTGTTTTAAAAGAATCCTGTTTTAAATGAATCCTGTTTATAAATGAATCTTATTTTAAATGAATCCTGTTTTTATATGAACCCTGTTTTTAAATGAATCCTGTTTTTAAGTGAATCCTGTTTTAAATGAATCCTGTTTTCAAATGAACCCTGTTTTAAATGAACCCTGTTTTAAATGAATCCTGTTTTTAAATGAATCCTGTTTTTAAATGAATCCAGTTTTTAAATGAATCCTGTTTTTAAATGAATTTTGTTTTTAAATGAATATTGTTTTTAAATGTATCCCGTTTTTAATGAACCTTGTTTTAAATCAGTGGTTCCCAAAGTGGGCGATATCGCCCCCCTAGGGGCGGTGGAAAGATTTTTGGGGGCGATAAGGAAGAAGAGGTCGGTAGGGGGGCGATATGGGGGGCGGTTGTCCAAAGTCAATGTCAGAAGTTCGAACGTGTGTTAGACGATTTGTACACAACACGTGCAGCACATGACTCCCAGCGATGGTTTTTTCTGTTTTTTTTTAACCTAGCTCTCCTGGGTTTACGTCTCGGACAAATTAACGGCCGGACTCGAGGCTGGTCTCACGGCCAATTTTCAAATTCAATGATCAAGGAATATCTCTCAAACTAATGAATTTAACTCGATGAAACTTGGTAAACGTATTCATTAGGACCTAACGGTAATGTTTTGCTCGTGAAAATTGTTTGAATTTTGCCATCGTTCGTTTTTGCCATAGTTATATGGCAATACGGGCCGAAATTCACAGTGATCAAGTAATTTCTTCCAAACTACTGAGCAGATTCGAACGAAATTTTGAATTTACAGTCCTAACTAAAAATTTTTCGATTGTGCCTTCGTTCGTGAGTTTTTTTTTCATTTCACCTTCATTCGTGATTTAAACAGCAATTCGTGCTTAAATTCGCAGTAATCAAGAATTTTTTTTTCCAAACTACTGAACAGATTATTATTAACTCGCAAACGAAAGCAAAATGGAAAAATTGTCACGAGCTAAAAATCACCGTTGAGAGGTCATGTATTTTTATACAAAGTTTCGTTGAAATCTGTTCTGTATTTTAGAAGATATTTCTTGATCGCCGCGAATTTAAGCGACAAATTACCCGGCGATCCGGGCCGAATATAAGGAAGTGTGAAATCAAGAATGACGGTGAAATGAAAAAAACTCGCAAACGAAGGTAAAATCGAAAAAAATGATAATCTAAAAAATCACCGCTTGGTAGTTAGGAATGTATATTCAAAATTTCGTTCAAATCTGTTCAATAGTTGAAGAAATTCTTTGATCAATGCGAATTTTGGCCTGTTCCGCAATATACGCGCAACTCACGAATGAAGGTGAAATTTTAAAAAATTTTCTAGCTAAACATCACCGTTAGGTTCTGATGAATGCGTGTTCCAAGTTTAGTAGAGCTGCGTTCATTTGTTTAGGAGATATTTTCTTGATAATTGAATTTGGAGATTGGTCGTGAGACCGGCCACGAGTCCGGCCATAAATTCGCCCGCGACGTCCTTGGCTTCTAGTGCTGAAACAGTTAAAACAGCTGAAAAACATATTGGTTCACTAAATGGGGTTCTATTTGTGAAATACACGTTTGTGTTTAACCTTCATCTTTAAAAATTTCAGCGTACTAAATTTCAAGAGAGTGGCGTATGTCTGTGGGGGGCGCTAGAAATTCACTAGGGGGCCAAAGGGGACGCCAGCCTGAAAAAGTTTGGGAACCACTGTTTTAAATGAATCCTGTTTTTAAATGAACCCTGTTTTTAATGAACCTTGTTTTAAATGAATACTGTTTTTAAATGAACCTTGTTGACTGGTGCACAGGGAAGGTAATGACCCTGCAGACCGCAACAGCGTGACGTACGCAGAGCTGCTGAGCGAGGTATGTCAGGTCGCAAACTTCCTGAAGAGCCGCGGCGTGGCAGCGGGCGACCGCGTCGCCATATACATGCCCATGATCAAGGAGCTCGTGGTCGCCATGCTCGCCGTCGCCAGGATTGGTGCCGTACACAACATCGTCGTGAGTTGACACAATTCGGGATGCTTATTATAAGGTTATTAGTAGACAATCTTCTTTGTGTATCGTATGTTCGTTACGAATTTTTTTTTTTCTTGATTTGTCTAATGCTGTTGTCTCGACTAAATTCGTAATGCTCATTAAAGAATAGAATAGAAGTGTCGGCACTGAAGAAATAGGCCCATGGCCTGTTGCCAATTCTTGAATTTTTCGTGACTTGATTCACAAGGGATCCTGCCTTTGGAACCCGATTTTTACATAGCTGACGATTGATTGAGATAGCTGCTGGACTTAATGCCTGGTCCGCAAGGTGCTATGCATTTCAAGACTGTGAGTCATTATAAGGTTCTTATTAAAAGATTATCTCTCTTAATCCGTCTGTGCTATCCTCTTAACTTAATTCGGAATGTTCGGTAAAAGGTTATTATTTAATATTATTTTCCTTGAATCGTCCTATACTTTTGCTTTGACTCTGTTCGGTTTTTTCATTGAAGGGTTTTTATTGAATAATTTTCTTTCTTAACTGGCAATTTTCTGCCAGGTCAGACTGTGTTGTAAGTTTTAAATTGCCTGTTAAACTATTTCATTGTATGAAATGCTTCATTAAAATATTATTTTTGTTTCGACTCGCTACTCGCAGTTAGTTTTCTCGTCCGGGCGTCAGGAAGCGATCCTTATTTCACACAAACCTAGCAAGCGCGCATAGTGTGCTTCTCATGATTGAACATTTGGAAGTTACCTGAACATTCGTTGATTCCTTGATAAATTTTTTCTATTAATAAGTCGAAAACAAACTTTTCGTATTTCTTTTAATAAATATTCTGTCAATCAGTCTGTTGATCGCGTTTATGTGTAATGAAAGAAAAGCCCAGGAATAATTAAGTTTATTTATGTCCCTCTCACGCGCACGCCAAAAAAGCATTGCAAAGCAAGACACGCAGCTATTTTTTATCCGTCTTGTCTCCGGTGCTACCTTGTCTTCCTGAAGTGATGACGCTCTAGCCTCGATTTGTGATGAGCTTTTCACTCGAGGCTTTCTCGCTATCTATCATGACGCTCGCTGTCACGTAGCATGTGGGAGCGTAAAACGTTTTGTGCACCAGGTTAAAATCTGTAACGCGTTTTGTAAATAGATCACAACGTTTTGTAAAGAGACCATAATATTTTGTAAAGAGACCATAATATTTGTAAAGAGATCATAATATTTTGTAAAGAGACCATAACATTTTGTAAAGAGACCATAATATTTGTAAAGAGATCATAACATTTTGTAAAGAGACCATAATATTTTGTAAAGAGACCATAACATTTTGTAAAGAGACCATAACATTTTGTAATGAGATCATAATATTTTGTAAAGAGACCATAACATTTTGTAAAGAGACCATAACATTTGTAAAGAGATCATAACATTTTGTAAAGAGATCATAACATTTTGTAAAGAGACCATAACATTTTGTAAAGAGATCATAACATTTTGTAAAGAGACCATAACATTTTGTAAAGAGATCATAACATTTTGTAAAGAGACCATAACATTTTGTAAAGAGACCATAACATTTTGTAAAGAGATCATAACATTTTGTAAAGAGACCATAACATTTTGTAAAGAGACCATAACATTTTGTAAAGAGATCATAACATTTTGTAAAGAGACCATAACATTTTGTAAAGAGATCATAACATTTTGTAAAGAGATCATAACATTTTGTAAAGAGACCATAACATTTTGTAAAGAGATCATAACATTTTGTAAAGAGACCATAACATTTTGTAAAGAGATCATTACATTTTGTAAAGAGACCATAACATTTTGTAAAGAGATCATTACATTTTGTAAAGAGACCATAACATTTTGTAAAGAGATCATTACATTTTGTAAAGCGATCATAACATTTTGTAAAGAGATCACAGTAAAGCTCCTTGTTGATGTGCAATTGTGCATGACTTGTCCAGGTAGAGATCCTCTATCTCTTAATCAGCAGATTACAAAACTGTAGGCATGAAAGCTCTGAACGTATTCATACGATGTGTAGTAATTGTGTACGTATTCGACTGCATGCGAGCGATATTGGGTATCTCGATACTGCACTCAGGAAAGTGAGTTAGTCACATTGTCCAAAATAGTGACACACGCGCACTCAGCACGAATTGAGAGCGGACGTAGGACTAAGATGCCCTTTTGCGTGTCAAATGTTGTCATCACGACCCACGCGAGGTTAAGACTTGCATCACTACTTGTACAAAGTTTTATTCATTTGTCTGAGTGGGGAGTTTGAGTGGCATACTCTACGTCCCTGTGGATGCAAGACTGAGTCATAATTTCCTCCTGATAAGCGACCTCTACAACAGTCGCAGCTTTGTTCATAGGCTGCATATTGGCAAATAATCTGCCCCAGTTCATCTCTTAATACTGCATTAAGGAAGAAGCAATGCACCTTTTATCGTTTTTCGAGGCTACAATGGATTTCAAGCACACCACACGTATTTACGAGTGACTATTTAACGTTCGTTGTACCGGTGATGACAAGGACCTAGTTTTTGACAAGGTAACTCATTCAATCCATTTCACAGCCAGAAATATAATAGTTCCCAAATTGAACATTCCGGTAGAACAAACAGCTGTTAGTGCTTTGTCACGTATCAATATTGCAGCATGCATTATTTTGTTTACAAAAGTACGAGGTTGTTCAAATTTTGACGGTACAACTCCATTAAATTTAATTTATTTACTCGAATAAAAGTAATGGCGAATGGCGAAGTCTGAACTCTAATAAATCAAATATTTAAATATGTGAAATAATACTCTAGGATATAAAGTCATTTTACCTTGGAAGAATGTCTACAGGTCAAGACGGTAGGCATTGCTTGGTGCATTCATTTTCTCTTTATCGATGTGGAACGCGCACCTTAAGAGGCATGCTGTGCACATCACAGCCGACGACGCTTGCTCTTCATCTGTGTGTAATGCGACTCTTGAAGCTTACTTTCTAATCTTCATTGATTACATACACCTTTGATCTTATCTAATATGTTTTCGAGTTTGGTTTCATGTGAATTACTCAGACTTTGAACCTGACACCACGCGTTGCATTTTGGCTAGAAATGCGTGTTCAAACTTTGATGCTTATAATACGTATTTGTACTTGAATTATGCTATGTGTTCAGACCGACCTACTATGCCACTTTATTCCACGGCTGCTTTGCACAACTTTCTTTGGATCTCGTTTCTTTGAGATGTACTGTGATGATGATAGTTTCGCTGTTGTCGGCGGATGCCGTTCTTATGATGAGGACAATGCGAGGTCGTTGTGGGGTACGTGTTGCCTGTGTTGGTGTTCCTGGTGATGATATCATTGCGGCACTGCACTACTTGACCATGCAAGTCAATTCGCAGGATGCAAGTCAATGCACAATAAAAATGAAACGATTGAAAAAGAACTATGAGACTATCAACTGTGAAAAGAAACGATTGAAAAACAAAATACATTAAATTTTAAGGTAGCTTACGCGAAAAGGCCAAATGAAAAGTAAAAGAATATCGATCGCGCGTGAAACATGTGATGAATTGAGCTAATATTTTTTGACCTTATGGCTGTAATATTTTAAAGCAGTGGTTCCCAAACTTTTTCAGACTTGCGCCCCCTTTGGCTCCCCAGTGAATCTCTAGCGTCCCCCCTCTCCCGACAGATACATATAAAAACAAACGCCTTCTTGATCTTTAGTATGCTGCAATTTCAAAAGAAAAAGGTCAAAGACAAATGTGTATTTCACAAATAGAACCCCATTTAGTTAACCAATATATTTTTTCCCAGTTTTAACTGTTTATAGCACTAGAAATTCAAGACGCCTCGGACAAATTTAAGGCCGGACTCGTGGCCGGTCTCGCAGTCGGTCTCACGGCCAATCTCCAAATTCAGTAACCAGGGAATATCTCCCAAAACGCAGCTTGATGAAACTTGGAACACGTATGCATTAGGACCTAATGGTGATGTTTAGCTCGTGAAAAAATTTAAATTTCACATTCATTTGGGAGTTATATGGCGATACGGGCCGAAATTTGCAGTGATAGAAGAATTTCTTCTAAACCAATGAACAGATTCGAACGAAATTTTGAATATAAATTCCTAACTACCAAATGGTGATTTTTAGCTCGTGAAAATTTATTCGAGTCGGAGTCTTGTTCTGCATGTGTTGTGTACAAATCGTACAACAAGCGTACGAACTTCTAATTTTGACTTCGCGGACTGCCGCCCCCCCTACTGCCCCTTTTTTCCTCACTGCTCCCCCAGATCTTTCCACCGCCCACAGGGGGGGGGCGATATCGCCCTCTTTGGGAACCATTGTTTTAAAGTAATGTACCGGTAGTGACCCGAAATATTATTTCTCCTCGTCAGTGCCGTGAAGCTCGTGAATAACTAACGACCAAAATAACTTGCTAATCGTCCATCATTACGGGTGAACTGTCCAGTATATATGGGGTGTAATATGAGAATTACCACTGCCTGAACTCCATTTATGTGCGAATTGAAAACAAATATTTGCAATTTAGCTAAATTCCAAAGCTATGTGCTCGATTATGTCTCTTTTGTTACTACAGGTTTTTTTATTTCGATTCACTTTTAAGTTAAATTTGAGTTTGATCTCGTTAGTTCTCATGACATTTCCACTCGTGCCTTTTGAGCTGCAGGGCATGCAACAATCTGCCTCAACGATGCTTGATATCATAAAACTGCTATAAAATATTATTCACGAGAACATTCTCTATCGGAAATCATTTATCCAAAATTTCACTTTTCTCACGAAAAGTTTCAGTCCGGTGCACGGAAAGGCAATCGCTTGTGAGCGTGAAGAAGTATCGTCATTGTAAACGTGAAGAAGTATTATTAGTACGACTGTGAATAAGTAATGTTCGTTTTAAGTATTTTTAGTGTGAGCGTGAAGAAGTAATATTGTCATTGTAAGTGTGAAGAAATGTTGTTAGTGTGAGTGTGAAGAATTATTGTCATTGTGAGTGTGAAGAAGTATTGTCATTGTGAGTGTGAAGAAGTATTGTCATTGTGAGTGTGAAGAAATGTTGTTAGTGTGAGTGTGAAGAATTATTGTCATTGTGAGTGTGAAGAAGTATTGTTAGTGTGAGCGTGAAGAAGTATCGTTAGTGTGAGTGTGAAGAAGTATTGTTAGTGTGAGTGTGAAGAAGTATTGTTAGTGTGAGTGTGAAGTATTATCATTGTGAGTGTGAAGAAGTGTATTGTTAGTGTGAGTGTGAAGAAGTATTGTTAGTGTGAGTGTGAAGAAGTATTGTTAGTATGAGCGTGAAGAAGTATTGTTAGTGTGAGTGTGAAGAAGTATTGTTAGTGTGAGTGTGAAGAAGTATTGTTAGTGTGAGTGTGAAGTA